CTCTGCTTGAGCCCTTTCTCTCTGCGCAGTTCTATTTGTTAGCAACTCCTTTGAGCCAAAAGATACTCCCTATAATTTCTACTGATCAGATCTAGCTTTCTCCTCCCTGAGATGCTGGACAAGTCTGTAATTTAATGCTCACATGCCCTTGGCTTCCTCCAGGCACCCCTCTGATCGTCTCTGTCTACTCGAACCAGGTTTTGTTTCTCCAAACAAATCGGTCAGTCACCTGCAGGGGGGGACACGGAAACTATTCGGAGTAAAACAGAGTGGCCCTAATGCAGGGAGCTGGTTACACAGGTGATAGAAGAGGCTGAGAAGCAACCCACAGGTTAGGAGCTGCGGGAAGATTAGCAACATCCTGCCGGTGGAAGGGGTGACTGGGGGCCTGGGTCACCTGGCTAAAGCCAGAACCACAGAAAGCCTTGGCGGCAGGGGCTGGAGCCAGAGAGGGAAGCTGCAGGGGCGGACAGCAAGGGAAAGAAAACCCTGCCCTCGCCCCTGCCCTGACCTCCTCCAGCCCCGCACCAGTGCTTCGTCTTGAGTGAACCCAGTGGAAACCCAGCCCGCAGGGCCAGTTCCTGCAGCCCAGAGTGGAGAGATGAGGACTAGACCTGAGGAGAAAGCCCGGGATCAGCACACGCCAGCCTCCACCGCCTGGCCTCTCTCTACCCCTCTGACTCTGTCTCCTATGTGGCCCTCCACCGGTCCCCTGCAGCCACCCTGCTTTCAACCTGGGCCTCACACCCTTCAAGAGCCCCTTTCGGGGGGGGGGCGGGGGGTGCAAGTCATCATGTGCTGGCTCCTTCTTATCCAGGTCTTGACTTGCAAGTCATGAGGGCTCTCGAAGGGTGTGAGATAGCTCAGCGCCTCTGCACATCTGCCCTGTCGCTCTCTATCACATATCACTACGTGAAATTGTTCTGTACGTTTATTCAAATGACTATTTAAGGGCCAGTAAGTGACAGACACTGTCGGTGGCACTGGGATACAACAGTGCATAAAGCCCTTAAGAACCCCACCTTACATTCCAGGGGAGGGAGACAGAAAATGGATGAAAGTCAAAGGCGGCAGGTACACAGGAGAAAAGCAACTCGAGGCAGGGCCCTGCTGGCCACCGGGCTTGCTGTTTTAAAAGGATGCTCAGATGATGCATCACTGGCCAGGTGACGTTCAGAGAAAGACCTGAAGGGAGTGAGGAAGTGAGCCAGAGAGACACTCAGCATAAGAGCATTCCAGGGACAGGGGACAGCCAGCACAAAGGCTCTGGGGCTCAGCACCTTGAGGCCGAGACAGTGAGGGGACAAGTAATAGAAAAGGGGGAGGGGCTGCAGGACAGATCCTATTGGGCCACGTGGGCCACTTTGGCTTTTGTGGAGCAGAGGAGGGGCATCATCCGACTTCATTGAGCAGCTTCTCATCGGCTGCTGTGTTGGGAATAGACCATGGGGTCCAAGGGTGGAAGGAGAGAGACCAGTGAGGAGGCAGCTGAAACTGGTCCACGAGAAATGCCGGTGGTGTGTACCCTCAGCAGGGTGGTGATGGTGGCAGCGGGGAAGGGTGGGCAGTTTCTGAATAAATGTCTGAAGTAGAGCCAGCAGGATTTGCTGATATCACAGTGATGTATGATAGAGAGCGATGGATGTGGGGTGTCAGAGAAAGGGAGGAACCAGAAATAACTGCAGAGTTCGGCCAGAGCCGATGGGAGGATGGAGTTTATGGCAGGGAGAAAGGCTGGCAGGGGAGCGGACGTGGGATAGCAGCATCGGTAGTTCCGTTTTGCACCTCGCGATAAACAGTAACACTAATGAACAACTCGAAACGTTCCAAGTACTTTACATCTGATGACTGAGTTGATCCTCTCTGAACTCTCTGAGTAGGTAGTAGGTACAGCAGGCCCTCAACTAACAGCTCATTCAGCGTCATCCTTTTGCTATTATGGTGAGATGCCGCGGGAACTTAACTCTCATTTATATCAATAGCCTATGGTGAGACTGGTTTCAGTTTATGTTGTTTCGCTTAAAGTCACAGCACCTATTGACGGTGGTGAGGATTCCCTGTATTCCCATTTTACATATGAGGTAACTGAGGCACAGGGAGGGTAAATGAAGTTCCCACAGAGCTGGACAGGGGCAGAGCTAAGACTCAGACTCAGAACTAAGACGCCAGTCTGGTTGCCGGGTCCATGCCTGCTGTAGCTCCCCTCTGCTGCTGCAGGTGCCCCTGCGGCGGAGAAGGCACCTGGGCAGCTGGACAGGTGAGGCTGGGCTTGGGAGAGCTGGAGGAGTTATTCATTTGCACACAGTTGAGAATTGGGTTCATTTCCTAAGACTGCCATACAAAATACCACAAACTAGATTGTTTAAAGTAACAGGAAAGTATTCTCCCATACTTCTGGAGGCTAGACGTTCAAGATCAAAGTGTTGGCGGGGTCATGCTTCCTCCAAGACTCTGGAAGGAATGCCTCCTTGCCTCTTCCTCGTGTCTGGTGGTGGCTGGCGACCTTGGGATTTTTCTGCCTGTTGCTTGGCCAAGGATGGAACCTGGCCTCCCTGGCCATGACCTGTAACTGGCAATGAATGGTTGAAGCCACAGCTGTATCACTGCAGTCTGCTCCGGTCATCACAGGACGTTTTCCTCAGTCTATCTTCCCACCATCTGACATCTTTTTGTAAGAACATGACTAATAAGAGATGTAGCAAGCTCCTTACTTGGCATGACCTCATCCTAACTAATTACATCTGCAATGATCCTATTCTGAGGTGTCAGGGGTTAGGACTTCAACCTGTCTTTTTTGGGGACAGTGTTCAATCCATAACAGGAATCTCTAGGGTATAGATATCAATTCAAACCACGAGACTAGAGAAGACCACTAGCCCCTCAGGAGTGAGTAGAACGGGCATCAAAGCTCTAGCTTGGGGATTGCCACCCTGCAGAGTTGAAGCAATGAGGGTGAACCATCAGAGGAGACTGAGGAGGAGCAGTACAGGCAGTGAGAGGCCACGTGGGAGTGTGTGGGGTCCTGTAAACTACGGGAGGAAAGTGTGCAAGGAGGAGGGACAATTGGTTGAGTCCAACGCAGCCGAGAGATAAAGAAAGAGGACGGGGACATGGCCGTCTGGTTTCACAAGTCAGAGATCATTTGTGACCACGACGAGCACCACTTCTCTGGAGTGGACTGCATGAAAGCCTGATTGGTGTGTGCTTGAGGGACTGGACGGAGGGGACCTGGGGACAGCAAGTACAGAAAACTCTGTTTGTGTTCACGATCTGTCTCTCCCTCTTATTGTGGAAGAGCCACAAGAGCAAGGGCCTTGGAGCATCCTATTCCTTCGGTATCCCAGGGCCCACACATTGGACTTGTGAAGCTCTGCTGAATACTGTGCTAGTTGGCATCTCCTTCAAATATGGGAGCCTGTCATTTTCCAGTTTGGTCACACCAGCAACGAGTAGAGGGAAATCATAGGGCTGGACTAGATTTCTCTGGTTCCTACCAGCTCTAAAATTCTACGATCATGTTGCTTGTTCTGCCCACCACCCCAGCATCAATACAGTAAGGAAATTAACGAGTTATTGTTTATTTGTCTTGGCAAACAGGTGTCAAATGTAATGGCTGGAGGGTTTCAGTTATAATTTTTTAACTTTTTGTAGATTATTTATTTATTTCTAGAGAGAAGGGAAGGGAGGGGGAAAGAAAGGGAGAGAAACATCAATGTGTAGTTTCCTTTCATGTGCCCCCTGCTGGGGACCTCACCTATAACCCAGGCATATGTCGTGACTGGGAATTGAACCAGCGATCCTTTCATTTACAGGCTAGCGCTCAATCCACTGAGCCACACTGAGCCAGGGCTCCAGTTTTAAATTTAACAAACGATTGTCCAGTGCCTACAATATGTTGGGTGCCATATATATATATTGTCACCTTTAATAAATAGATGTAGGAGCAGGGAGCCTGGGCTGGGAGGGTGTCAAGAGGGGTGATGGAGGCCTTTCATTGCTAACGCTCTGGGAGGTCCAGGGTGCTCTGATGTGGTCGCAGCTACTGTGGTTGCGGATGAAGAGGGAAGAGCTCCTGAGTAGCTTGAATGCAGCAGGTGGCAGAGCCGCAGCTGCTGGGACACAGGGCAGCATTCACTAAGGCATAAGCAACCTTTATCTGCTTCACCCCTAAGCAGCCCAGGGCAGCCACACAAAACAGCTAGCTGTTCAGGCAGTGCGGTGGGAGGGGGCGATGTGGGCCTCAGGCCCACCCCACCACAGGGCAAACACCCAATTCCCCACCATATTCAGGGCACGAGGATTCTGCTGTGGAGGACAGCGCCCTTGGGGTTTTTCTGCCTGGTCTATTTTGGCGCTCTGAAGCCCAGTGAAGCAGGGCAGGGGTAGCAGTCGCACGCGTTCTAAGGCGAGGAGAGGCACGCGCTCAAGGCACCAGGAGATCTGCGGGAGAGGGGCAGGGCCAGGTCAGGCACCTAGGCTCCTGCATCCAAGTGTCAGTCCACGAATGATGGAGGAACTTGGATTCTAGAGTCCATTCCCGGATTAAATAATCTTTAAACAGGGACCTCGGTTTCCTCATCTGTAAAACAGAGAGAAAAATGTCACCCCTACAGAGGTCCTTGCAGGATCAAAGACATCATGTGTATAAAAATGCTTTTGACATAGCAAGTGTCTGCCAGACATTTACTACCGTTATAAACCAGCAGGCCAAGCTTCCTCTTGCAATTATAGATTAGGCTCTCTTACTCATCTGACCTGACCCATTTGTTCCACTTTCCACTAATTTTCTCCGTCCCTGTCCCTTCAACAAAGAGAGGAAGTGAGAGATGAAGAGAGCACGTGATTCTAACTCCAGCGTTATGCATGCCTTGATCTAGGTAAGCGCAGGCTTCGCAGCTCCTTGGGTGCTGAGGAGTGCTCTCCGCCCAGAACTACATTTCCCAGCAACCCTTTCGCGGTTCCACCCGCAGCGGGAGAAAGGCGCAAGCGCCGAGTGTCGCCCCGCCTCGTCCTGGGGCCGTCCCTCCGAACTCGCTGCAGTTAGTGGAACCGGCAGGTCCCAGCGCTGCGGCTGCAATCCTCGCTCCGCTACTTCTCCTCGGCGGAGCGGGTTCTGGTGCCTCAGCTCCGGTCAGTGCCATGATCCGGCAGGAGCTCTCCACATCCTACCAGGAGGTACAAGGCTGGGGGGTGGGAGGCGCGGAAACAAAGTTTCCTGTGAGGCAGAGGAGCGGGCTTCTGGGTGGGAGGGGTGCAGGGGGCGTCGGGGCGCGCTTCCGAGGAGCGGGCGAGTGCGTCAGGATAGGGGTCCTCGCGTGCAGACGAGTGGCAGAGCAGGAAGGAAGCGGAGTGCCCAGCCTCCCCCGGATGCCACGGTCGCTTGGCCGGAGCTGGGGCCCCGAAGCCACGACTCCTAACCAGCAGGTGAATGATTAAAGCCTCATCGGACTCAGGCACCTTCGCGGCGGGCCAGGTGGGACCCCGCGTGGCCTCCAGGATTGCTTGTTTGCAACAAGTAGACGCGCTCGCTTCCAGCTGGAGCGTTTGCACGGTGGGCATTAGCGCGCCTCCCAGCCGAAGGCCTCGTGGCCCCTGCAGCTGTTAATGATAGGGATGATTGCATCTTGCTTGGGTGGCCGCCTGACTTTGAAAATATGCTTTCACCGACATAGCTGCTCCTCACTGCACTCCCTCTTTCTCTCCGGTCTCACCTCCTCCCACGACTTTGTAACTATCACTTTCAAGCTCTTTGTCTCTTTCTTATCTGTCCTGAGCTACAGGCTGCCGTTCCAGCTTTTCCCTCTTCCTTCTGACTCCTGCTACAAGGAATGAATTCATCTTCCCCTCCTCTCACGTCCCAACTTCAGTCACCTTCCTCCCCTGCACCCCTCAACGTGCCTCCCCCTCAGTTGCCAGGTTCTGGCAGTACCACATTCTCAGTCCTCCGGTTTGCGTCCCTGCATCTCCTCTGCCCACCTGAGTGTGATACTGTGTTACCACCGCTCCCTTTGGTCTCTCCCTGTGCAGATTTGCTCTGAGGCCCAGCCTTGACCCCAGAGCATTCGTTTTTTTCGTACACCTGATAGTGCCCTGGGTCTGCTCAGAGCGGTCTGAACTTCTCAGCGAGCTTTTAGAGCTCTGCACAGCTCAGCAGCTGTATCCCCCATTACCTTCACCATCCCACCCACCTAGGTTCTGGCCACATTTGGAAGCTCACTGTTTAAAAATGTGCTTCTGCTTCCTGGCCTCTTGTGCCTGTGCTGGCACCATTTCTTCTCCTCTAACCCTTCTCAACTTCCACACTGGTTCAAATCCCGCCGTTACTCAAGGGGAGACTCTCAAATCCCACCTGCCCCATGGAGACCGACTTCCCGGACTAGTCTGGCATTCTGCCTGGCCTTCTCAGTTGAACTTGCTGCTGTTTTGAGCAGTACCGATCAATATGATGTACATTTTCCCTTTGTCAATGACACTGTGTGGTGCAGACGAAACAGGTGGCTTAGCCTCGCAGCAGTGGAGTCAGGTGATTTGCTGAGGCCGCCGGCCTTTTTTTAGTGTGGGACCTGGGCGGGAATTTGACTGTGGGACAGCTTTGCATGTTTCTCCTGCCATCTTCTTCATCCCATCTTCTTCTTTTATCCAGAAGGAGCCCAGTGGGTTTTTAACCAGTGCTGGGGGCTCTGTGGCCCCTAGGTTTCATGTCTTTGACAGTGGGGGAATCCTGGGGAGTGAGTTTTGTCTTTCCCCGACTCTGAAGGCTTTCAGGTTTATAGGGAAGAGGCCACAGTGGGTAAGTACTAGGACTTTGAAGTCAGAAACCCCACGTTTCTCTCCGGGCTCTGTCTCTCGCTGTTTGTGTGCCTTTCGTCAAGTCGTCTAACTTCTCTGAGCCTCAGTTCCTTCACCTGCAAAACAAAGGTAATGATCGTCCCCATCTTCTAGGGTTTTTTTTTTTAGGGTTAGATGAGTTAGCACGTGGAGAGTGATTATTTAGCTCAGTGCCTGGCAGGTGAATGAAATAATAGCTCCTATTAACAGGGTGTGTGCGGCTCTTGCTTCTGGGGAGCTTTGGTGTCCCTGGTTTTATAGGACTGTGCTCCTCACCATCCACAGTTAGGTTAGTCTCCTTACCTAGCAGGGCTCCTGAAATGTTTATTAGAATTTAGGCCAGTTATCCTGCTTGCAGGGGCGAGGCCAACGGTAGAGCCGGTTGGTGTTTGGGGTGCGCCCACGGTGCAAGGTACCGGAAGGGCCCTTCCCTTCTCTTTAGTGGCCTGCCCTGCAGTCCTTGTCTCTCGCCTTCGGAAGAAGGGGGCCTCCCATTTTCTGGGAGGCTACCTTTCTTGCCTGGATCATTCTGGGCTTAGCGTTAGGTTTCTTTACTGAGTGGAGATTTTGGCTTTAGAGGATGGGGTATGCTGAGAATTTGCCCAGGGCAGGCCAGGAGGTGGGTTCATCACAGCTGCCGGTTGTCAGGAGGGGAACGGGGTGAGGCTGCACCTGGGTTAGGCTTGCATCAGAGAACTTTGAGCCTTTCTGGGATTAACAACCTCTCTTCCCTTTGGCAGGTGAAAGCTCCGGGACTTCCTGAGCTGTGTACTCCCACTAAGGGCCTGGGTCTGTCTCGTGGCGCCTTCCCCATCTTCTCAGCCCTCTTCCACTCTTTCTTTTCTTTTGGGACTAGAGGGCTTTGAACTGGGAGTTTCAGTTCCAAGGGGCAGGAGTGGAGCCATGGAGAGGGACCTGCCAGAACAATAGATGCAGGAGCTTTATTTAACTCGTGTGTCTTGGAGATGAAATTTTAAAGAAGATGTCTTGAGACCATCGGCATTTACAATGTGCATCTGAGAAAATATTTGGGAGCGCTCTCCACTCCTCCTCTCATCCCCGTTCAGTGATAGCTCCCCCTCCATCTCTAGTCTTGACCTTTCCTGCCCTCCTCCTTCACGCTACTGAGATTTGTTGGTCATCATTGTATCCTTCTGCCTGCCTTCCCTTCTCAGTGGCAGCATTTTCCCCATCTGACCTGCGAGAACGCTGATGGAGTGAGGTTGGGTATTAGTGTCTGTCCCTGACAGGGACCGGCCCGCCCCACTTTGTTCTGCCATTTGCAGCCTGGGTTGGTGAACTCACTGGGTCCTGGAGAGCTCACTGCTCCCCTCCTCTTGCTCATCAGACACTGAGCTGCATTTCCTTCTCCTCTGGGAAGTGGTTAAGGTCACGGGCTTGGTACTAGGTCAGCTTGGATTTTAGTCTTCTGGCATCTGTGGCCACGGAAAGTGTTGTGTTGAATTGTTACCCACCCCCCAAAATGGTGAAGTCCTAACCCCCAGTACCTTAGAATGGGACCTCATTTGGGAGTAGGATCGTTGTAGACGTGAATGGATTAAATGAGGTCATACCGGAGAGGGGTGGGCCCGCATCCGATGAGAGTGGTGCCCTTGTACAGAGATGACGATGGGAAGGAGCGGACTCCCCAGGAAGGTGGAGGCAGAGATCGGGGGTCGGGTGCATCTACAAGGGTTGCTGGCCATTAGCGGAAGCCAGGAGAGAAGCATGGAAAAGAGGCCCCTGCGGCCCTCATAGGAGCCACCCTGCCAGAGCCCTGAGGAAGCACATCTCTGTTTCAAGCACCCAGTTTGTGGTGCTCGTTCCGGCGAGAATGTATAAGGAAGTCACTCACGTTTTCTGAGCGTCAGTGTCCCCATCTGTAGCGCTGGTATAATACCCGGCCGGCATCATGTGATTTTTTTTTTTGTTTAATGATTACGTGTGAGAAGCAGCTTCTGCTTTCTTACTCTAGTCTGGAAAAGCAAGGCTGGTGTAGCTGACTTGCTTGCCCTCTTTGTGTCTCCCTGTAGCTGAATGAGGAGTTGGATCAGGTGGTTGAGAACTCAGAGCGCACAGACGAGCAGGAAAAGGAGAGAGTCAAAGTCCAGGGTTCAGGCATCTTACCAGGTAAGTGGGTTCAGGCAGGGAGTGGAGGGCTGGGAAAACAGTGTTCTGCTGCTGCCGCTGCAGGCGGGCACCTCGCCAGCTGTGCACCCAGGGAGGGGAGGAGCCCCCTGCCCTGCACCCTGGTGTCAGGTCTCGGGCATTGCCCTGGTTTGAAAGCTATACATATTTAACCAGCCTTGGGGCAGAGGCTGTGCCCGGCTGGTACCTCCTCTTTTCTGCACTCCAGTTCCAGCCCGTTCCTGAGACCAGGTTTTAGATACAGAAGCAAGGGCTTTGGGCATCTGCTCTCCTGTTAGATTTTCCCTAAGAAGTGGGTAGCAGTTGAACCTCTGATATCTGGGTCACTTCCAGGAGCCTCTGGAAGAATATCTAATAGACACCACCTCTCAGATAACAGACTTCTTCAGTATAGTCTCCCAGCTGAGTGATCAGGGTCCCATCAGTCAGGGGGCATCTTATGGAGCCTTGCAGTAGCTTCTGACACTTGCTGACCACTTCTTCCTTCTGGCTACTCACTCTGCCCCCTTAGTTTCCGTAATGTATTACTTCTCAGGTCAGCCTGCTTTGCAGTCATCCTCAGGCTCTTGGGTGCTAAATGTTTGTCACAGGCCCCCTTCTCTTACTAGTGGTGGCCTCGTGCAGGCCCCTCCCCTGCGTCAGTCACTGCTTGCTCTCATGTACCTGCCACATTTACACCTCTAGCCCAGAGGTGACCTGCAAACTCCAGGCTTATCTATCCTGTATATACAGATGCCGTGGTGATAGCTCTGCTTAGATGTTCCAAAGGTACCCTAAACTCCACACAGTCAATAGGATGGACCGCCCTGGCTGGGTAGCTCAGTTAGTTGGAACAATGTTCCAATGCACCAAGGTTTTGGATTTGGCCCCTGGTCACGGCACATATGACAAGCCACCAGTGAAAGCGTGAATAAGTGGAACAACAAAAATCAATCTTTGTCTCCCTCTCTCCCTTCCTCTCTTTCTAAAATCAATAAAACCACAATTCTATTTTTTAAAAAAAGATGGGCCAGGGCAAGTTTCGATGAGGGTATTGAGAAATAAGAACCCCCATACACCCTCTGTGGGTAGAATATAAACGGGTGCAGCTGCCATGGGAAGCAGTCCGGCAGGTCCTCACAAGGTTAAATCCAGAGTTACCCTGTGGCCCAGCAGTTCCAGGCCTAGGGATATACCCAGGAGAAGTGAGAACTTACGTCCACCCAAAAACTCATAGAGAATACTCATAGGAGCATTATCCATAATAGCCAATAGATTGAAACAACCCGGAAGTCCACCAACTGATGAGTGAATAAATAAAACAGTATATCAATGTAGCGGAATGTTACTTGGCAATAAAAAGGACTGAACCGATATATGTGACAACATGGAGGAATCTCGAAAACATTAGGAGTTCTGGCCAATGTGAGGGCATAGGTAGAAACCCTTCCCGTCCTCACACAGCCAGAAGGAGGATAACAGCCCATCTAAAATCAATAAACAAGCAAAAGCGCCAGAAAATCAAACTGCATGGAACTCCGACAACGAAGGAATTAAAGAAAAAATCTACCAAAGCAACCAGACTGGTAAGGCAGCGGACCCCACGGGCCAACCCAGAAAAACCGCGGCAGGGCCCCAACCCGTGGGGGTGAGGCTGGCTGCTGAGCTCTTTATCCTGCACAGAAGAGGCTGACTTAAGGGGAAAACTGAGACTCAGAGCTGACTGCGGGCTGTGTCTGGGGTTGCAGAGGTGGGAGATACTTGCAGTCTGACTTAAGTCTGTTGGAAAGTGCACTAGAGACAAACAGGCAAGCTGCACTCTTCCTTCCCTGGCCCCTCCCCCACAGGCAGAGTAGCAGGAAGGGTTGCCCTGTCTGGGTGAATCCCTAAGGCCCGCCCCTTACAACCTATCAGCTGCACCAAGAAAAAGAAATATGGCCCAAATGAAAGAACAGAGCATAACCTCAGAACTAAGCAATGAGGAGATTGCCAACCTATCTGATGGAGAATTTAAAGTCCTGGTAATCAAAATGCTCACAGGTCTGAGCTTGGTTGAAAAATTAAAAGAACAAATGAAGGATACCCCGAATGAAATAAAACAAAATATTGAGGGAACCAACAGTGACAGGGAGGAAACCAGGACTCGAGCAACGATTTGGAACGAAAGAAATACCCATCCAGAAGAAGAGGAAGAAGCAAGAATCCACAAAAATGGAGACTTAGGAACCTCTGGGACAACTCGAAACGTTCCGGTATCCAAATTATAGGGGGCCCAGAAGGAGAAGAGGAAGAGCAACAAGTGGAAAAGATATTTGGACAAATAATGAAGGAAAACTTCCCCAGTTTTGCAAAGGAAATAGACTTCCAGGAAGCCCAGAGAGTCCCAAAGAAGTTGAACCCAAAGAGGAACACACCAAGGTACATCGTCATTAAGTTACCCAAGAGTAAATATTAAAAAATCCTAAAAGAAGCAAGGGGAAAGGAGACAGTTACCTATAAAGGAGTTCTCATAAGACTATCAGCTGATTTCTCAAAAGAAACCTTGCAGGCAAGAAGGGGCTGGAAAGAAGTGTTCAAAGTCATGAAAGGTAAGGACCTACATCCAAAATTACTCTATCCAGCAAAGCTTTCATTTAGAATGGAAGGGCAGATAAAGTGCTTCCCTGATAAAGTCAAGTTAAAGAGGTTCATCACCCAGCCCTTATTCTATGAAGTGTTAAAGGGACTTAATCTAAGAAAAAGAAGATAAAAAATATGAACGGTAAAATGACAAACTCACAACTATCAACAAATGAACCTAAAAGAAAAGAAAAATGAAAACAAAAACTAAGCAAACAGCCAGAATAGGAACAGAATGAGAGGAATGGACATCACACAGAGGGAGTTCAGTGGGGACAGGGAAGCGGGGGAAAGGTACAGGGAAGAGGAAGCGTAATTAATAGGCATAAAATAGATGGGGAGAGAGAAAAATGGTATAGGAAACAGGACTCAACTTGTACAACCCATGGACATGAACTAAGCTGGGGGGAATGCTGGAGGGTTGGGGGTGCCGGGTGGAGGAGGGATAAGAGGGAAAAACTGGAAAAACTATAGTAGCATCGTCAATAAAAATATTTTTAAAATATTAAATGAAAGGTCAGACACAAAAGGCTGCATGTTGGATGATTCTGTGTGTGTGAAATGTCCAGAACAGGCAGCTCCCTGAGATAGAAAGTAGATTACTGGTTGCCAGGGACGAGGGGGAAGGAGGAGTGACGACTAAGGGTGTGGAATTTCTTTTTGGGTCATGAAACTGTTCTGTAATTAAAGAGTAGTGATGGTCCCCCACCTTGTGAACATACTAAAACCTATGAAATATATTCACTTTAAAAGGGTGCATGTTATGGTAATGTAAATATAGCTCAGAAAACAAAAAAGAGAAAATCACTGAAAAAGAGAGAAGAATTCATTCTTTGCATTCAGAATTCCTCTTTGCGCAGCACACTCTGCAGGGTGGGGTTTCCCAGGGGATGGTAGGCAGCCAGGTCCCCTCCCACTGAGCAGAAGACCCAAGTTGTTTCAGAAATCGGATTGCTCATCACAGACCCCCTTAATGGCTTGGCAGTCTGGGGCAAACGAAGGTTTTGGAACCATTCATGCTATGGATTTTACAAAACTCCTAAGTTACTTTTCCCCCGGAAGATTCTTGTGCATTATTTTTGTTTTTCTGCTACCTTGACTTTATATTCCTGTAAAGGATAAAAAGTTATTTTTCAGTTACAGTTGGCATTCAGCACTGTCTTGGATCAGTTCCAGGTGTACAGCATATAAACATTCATATAGTTTACAAAGTGTTCCCTTTGGTGGTTCAGGTCCCTTGGTATTGTTACAGCACTGTTGACTGGAGTCCCCATGCTTTACCTCACACCCCCAAGTTTGTTTTGTAACTGTCACCTTATTTCACCCCAAACGCCCATCCCCTCTGGCCTTGTCAGTTTGTTCTATGTATCTGTAAGTCTATTTCAGTTTTTGTTAGTTTATGTTGTTCGTTGGGTTTCACATATAAGCCATATTATGTGGTATTTGTCTTTGGCGTATTTCACTTAGCACAATGCCCTCTTGGTCCATCCACACTGTTGCAAATGGTAAGATTTCATTCCTTCTTGTGGCTGAGTAATCTCCCATTGCACGTGCGTGCTGCTGCCGTTTATCCACTTGTCTGTTGATGGGCACACGAGTTGCTTCCTGTATCTTGGCGATTGTAAGTAACACTGCAGTGAACACGGGTGCATATAGTCCTTTGAATTAGGGTTTCGGGTTTCTTCGGGTACATTCCTAGAAGTGGAGATGCTGGATCATAAGGGCAGTTCCATTTTTAATTGTTTTCGAGGAACCTCCACAGTGTTTTCCGGAGTGGCTGCACCAGTCTTCGTTCCCGCCAGTGCACTGGGATTCCTTTCTCTACATCCTCACCAACATATATGTTGGTGGATTTATTGATGGTAGCTTATCTGACAGGTGTGAGGTGGTACCTCGATTGGTGATATTGAGCTGCTTTTTTTTTTTTTTTTTTTTTAAGTTATTTATTTATTTATTTTTAGAGAGAGGGGAAGGAAAGGAGAAAAAGTGGGAGAGAAACATCAATGTGTGGTTGCCTCTCATGTGTCCCCTACTGGGGACCTGGCCTGCAACCCAGGCATGTGCCCTGACTGGGAATTGAACCAGCGACCCTTTGCTTCACAGGCCCGCGCTCAATCCACTGAGCTACACCAGCCAGGGCTCGTGCTTCTCTTCATAATGTCTGTTGGCCATCTGTAGGTCCTCTTTTGAGAAGTGTCCATCCAGGTTCTCTGCCCACTTTTTAGTTGGGTGTTTTGGGGGTTTTTCTGGTGTCGAGTTGCCTGAGTTCTTTATTAATTTTGAATATTAACCCCCTTTCAGATGTATTATTGGAAACTATGTTCTCCCACTCGGTAGGTTGCCTTTTTGTTTTGTTGGTCTCCCAGGCTGGGAGGAACTTTTCA